AGGCGGGAAATCGACATGCGCAGCATATATCCAAGCCATTTCAGTCAACTAAGGATCGCAGCTTTGTTAATCGACTTACCTGTCTTGCTTGATAACCTTGGCCTGACTTCAACATTTTTCACACAGTGATTCCACCAAATACAACAAAAGCTACAAAGACATCTGTGGCCGCTTCATGTCTTCTACTTTTAACGGCCACGTTCTGCAGCCGTATAGCAGGACAGAACGGAATGCAGCGCAGTATAGCAGCCCCTTGAAAGGTGGGCGGATATCTCACCAGTGGTCGCTGGGGATGATGTAAGCTGGCAAACACAAAACAAGCCTTCTATATCCTAGCTGAGATTTCAACAGCAACCAGCCCGTTCGGGCTGATGCAGCTACCTAAGTAAGAGACGTGGTCAATGCATTCCACTAATTTACCACCTATTTTTAAACTGGAAGTTGTTGCAGGTCAATCCCGGAGCATCCTCTTGCATTAGACAGGTGAGAAACACATGCCAAACGTACTTAGATTTCTGCCACACGCCATCAAAAGACCCTGCATTTTGTCAGCGTTTCCACCCACCACGACAATATAGTCTGTAAACTCCGAGCCAATAAGTTGACCTCCAAGGAGTAAATAAATCCCAATGAAGTCAGACGTACCTAATGTTATGTTCATTAGTACGTTCATAGAGAAGAGACAGTAGGTATCCCTGACATACACTACCAGTTGTCGGCAGTTCTGATGACGACTCAACACAAGCCCGTACGAGGTTGTTTGAGTTCGAGTAGAGAGCTTTGATAAGCACTATAAACTTACTCGATACTCACCTTACGGTCAGATACTACCACAACGCCTAACGGTTGACACAGTCGAATGCCGCCTTCAGATCAACAAATATGGCAAGTATGGGCCCCTGGTACGTATGCTGGTGTCCCAGAGCCCGTCGGGGGGCGAAAATTCGATCGACATACTGTTGTTCGGTTTTGAATCCTGGCTGGTTTTATCGATTTCGCTGTTATCAAGCTCCAACATGGCATCGGCTAACTATGAATCCTAGGGTCTTGAGCACGATGGTAATCGGAATGATTCCCCTACAGTTGTCACAGGGAGACTTTTATCCCTTCGAATAAACTGGGATGGTCAGGGAACTAGACCACTCTGACGGCAATACCTCTAATTCATATACACTCGTAATACTTCCAACACTAGTCAACAATTTCCTACCTCCATCCTTTAAAACTGCAGGTGGAAAGCCATCAGGTCCTGCTGCTTTGCATTATTCCACGTTTCATACAGCCTACTCAACTTCAAAGTGACTTAAAAGACCGACATCTAGGTCTCATTCGGTTTCAGACTGGAAGCGTTGCTATGGGTCAGTTGAACTATGCTCCAAGGTGTTCCACCCAACATTCTGATCGTCTGTCCTGAGAGGTAAGTTATCTGTGTCCCGTCGTTTTCAGTGGTGGTTTCACAAACCATCGTTTCCTTCTTACTGGTATCTTTAGTAACCCGAAGTAGTTGCCGGATGTTACCCAAAGCTGACGCATTCTCCATCTCTCTTGCTTTCGCCACCACCACCACCTCTCGCGATCATTGCAAAGACTCCCAGTCAGTTTACGATCAAGTTACTTTCACTCTTCATTGTAGTCCAGAGTCAGCTGGAATCAGTCTTCTCGCATCGGCCAGTTTCGATGAAGTTGCAGAAATCCAATGACGTTCGCTAACCATCTAGTGTAAGTTACCAACTACCTTTAACACTGTTTCTGCAGCAGACCACGTATTACGCCAGGTTTCCTCAGGATAAGCAGTGCTGTCACGTTCAGATAAATGCGTATTTGATGTTTTCATCTTCCAATCGAGCATAGACAGCCTTAACTGCCGCCCGTTCTCTGCGAGCAGGAATGCATATTCCTACACGTTCCTGCCCTAAAGTGTGATCGGAATACGAACTGGTACTCCAGAAAGACGCAGAAATCCTCCACCTTTCCTCCCCACCGATAGCTTGCAGCAATATGATTTATCAGTGTCCATCGTCTGTTTGATGTCGGTGGACGCCAAGTGAGAGTGTCTGTCTACGCTGAAAGTTAGTGCTAGCCAGATGCAAATGATCATGAGAAAAAGATTGTAAGAGACAATCACCGTTGTCGTCCAGGTGGTATTGGATTCCGTAGATACCCTCTAAGTTACTTTTTCGATTGGCTCAGCCTTCCAACTTTAGCGCTAAAATCACCTATAATTATGCCTATATCCGAACGTTTTGCTTTCCGCAGTAAAGTTGACAGCTTCTCATAGAGTTCAATCTTTACATTATCCGAGCTATATTCGTGGGGTGCGTAGATAGAGATTACGAAAAGGCGTCGGTTAGTCAGGCTCATGATCCTTCCTAGTTCTTACAGACCCATTCAGTCGAACAGTACATAAACGGCTGTTAACCACTATTCCATTCTACAGCTCAATGCTATGTCTACACCAGCGAGTCCACGACAGCCAACCACTGAGTCTCTAGATACTCTTAAGGTGCATTTTGAAGATTCACTACTATGGTCAGTTGAGGTCAGTTTAATAACCACACTTAGGTCCTGTATACTTGTTTCAAAGACGCAGTATGCATCCATGGCTAGAGATTCCTAAGTTTTGGTGAGCGAATCTTGGTGTTCAGTTTGGCAAAACGTTTGCACGTTGAAATCTCCTATCTGAAGTGATTGGTAGAATCTTAGGAGACTAGCAATGAGTTTTTGATGGCTTTGACCGTTGGCAATGGTCACAAAGTGCGAGGCCTAACTTTAGCATAGGGAAGTGAAGGCAAAGGAGGATAAGTTATTTTTGCTTGGATGTTGAATACTACTGGGAGCGTGGGAGCAGTTGACACTTTCCGACTGTCTACACCGTTGAAGGCTGCTTCTTCTCAAAGTATCTGAAAGGAAAACAATTTAGGTGACCTGAGAGCGCGTGGGATATCTGTTTGATGTGTCACAGCCTTTAATGGGTTGTTTATTTGAGGTATAGTTGTTCTAACATCGAAGAGAGAAAACTCATGCTGCGGGCACCGGAAGACTGTGGGGCAGCAAGGAGTGTGCTATTTTGGGGGTAGACCTTTTCTACCGCCGCCCAAACAGCATCAGTGTGGCACTGCCAATCATCCAATGAAGACACCTTACTAACATCATACCCGTCAGGCAGCAGTACGACTTCACATAGACTGGCTATCGGCAGTTTGAAAACAAAATTTACTGACTGAATATCCCAAACTGTGGCTCACTGGTTTTGGGAGTTGACTTTCAACCAAAGGGTCACGCGTTTAAGCCCCGACCCAACTCCCGGGATTCGGGCAATCAAGTAGCATTTCGTTAGCTTAAACAATATGTGTTGCTAATTGCTTACTGCACGAATGTGCACAAATCGGATTCGTTCCGAAGCAACAGTGATACTTGGTATGTGCTAAACAGATAAAATTTTGTGAGAAACGTACAAAACATTAACTTACTCAAGTGACTGGTTCGATGTCTCCCGTTCCGACTTCTTTGTACCCAAGAAAAATCATACAGTTTTAGTGCAGTCGTGCAGCAAAACAGTGCAAGCCCTGCGTAAGCCACCACAGAAATAAATGACATGCACGACAAGCTCAGCATGAGTGTCAGGCCAACGGTGGCAACGATACCTGACTTGATAGGCTCTTGCCAATAAACGATGTCTCTAGCTGGGTTAAGCAAAAAATAGCAGAATCATTTCCAAGAAGTAACAAACCACAGACAATTTTATCAAGAAGGCCTTCACAGGCAGACTTTTTTTTTTTTACTTTTAATGGCAAACTACTTCAGAAATCTCTGTTATAGTGCTGTTCATTTTACCTTTTGCAAGATAAAAAATTAGCATAGAACTCCGCACAAAGTGCATTAATTCAATTCTACATACTTCACAGCAACATGCAAAGAACAAGTGGACTAAAAAGGAACGATACTAATGTAAACAAAAGTGTACGGGAGAGACAACTAGGGAATGAGGATTAGTGAAATCGTCTACAGTACTGGTAACAGTGTCACTATACCTGAGCCACTGTAACCGACTATCAGCCATCACCAAGAGTTTTCACAAGTTGATTCCTACCATTTCGAAGACCCTAGTGTAGGATAAGTCAAACATTTCAAGAACTAATCCCGGGTCTAAATCTGGTCAGCTTGAACCTTAAGGTAATTCAGCGAGCTTTGTTCGGCGGAGGAGGCGATGAATAGGAACGCATAGCACAAGCTGAAGCCAAGTGAATAGCTAACAGTTCCAAACCTTATCAACTGACTTCAGTCTTTTAACTTATATTCTCCATCCAGCATAAAGAGACTGCAATTTCAAGTACCCATCTATTTGACCACTCTTTTAGGAGAAATAACAAGGAATTCAGTGGTGCACTGCAGCTTTAATAGAAACGCGTATTCAAAACTACCACAATAGGTTCAAATTGAAGCAGATATATCAGGTAAGGAGTATTTAACAAGAACTAGTCCCACGCGATCACTTTACGACACTAGAAAAATACTAATCCACCTTACCAAATGCTTTTATGCTAATGAAGAAATGGGGTTGAGTGCAATGAGATCAAATCTCCAGGAAATTTAGATTTAAAATCACCTCACCCACCTGCTCCCATTTTTGAAAACACCACGAGTCGATATGGCTTTTTACGACAAGTTGTTAGAAGGCTGATGAAATTCGGCGATTCAAGAATCTGCAAAGGATGAACAGAATGCTCAAATGTGGTTGACTAAGAAAAAAAGGAAATCGAGAATAGTAATTCCAGATGAATTTTGTGATACAAAAAGTATGCAAGGATAATTATAATAATTGGAAAGGCGGCGAAAAGTCTACACCTAAGTTTCCTAGTTCTCCCTAGGATTGAAACAGGGCTGTACCGCGTTAATGAATCCTAAAGCGTATACAAGATTTGAGGACATGATGAAAACGTGCGGAGAAAACTGTAACCAACCCCCTTCGGACCACGCCCGAATAACTGGATTTTCAGAGAATTATTTTTCCACTTCCTTTTATCTCACCTTGTGGTGAAAAAAGTCTAACAGTCCTAAGGATAGCGATTGGCCCTCTGAGTCACTTCTCTACATTTTTCAAGTGTTTAAATAGCATGCAGATAGAGTACTTTAAGCTTAGCAGCTGCTAGGTAACGAATAACAAATGAAATGCAATTATCACAATTCGACGATCGTTCCCTCAATGAAGAGAATACTGATAGGTGCATTTCAATTTATCTTCAAAATGCTGTCACACAACAACACGGTAGTCAAAATACTAAACAACCCTCCATTTCAGTACTCCTACCTCGTGCAAGCTCTGTCGCACCAATATTGAATAATAAACAACATAGGCAACAACAATGACCTACAGGTTTGCCGCGCAGCAATATTAAAGTGCAAGTGGCGCGGACGAACTGCTAACATACAAAATCCAGCGGCAATAGTACGACTAGAGGAAACTTGTAGTTTGTAAGCTATCCTTCCCAGGTCTTGGGGCTCAGTTCTTTTTGTTAGGTTGTACTCCTTCTAGGGTGGCAGGAGTCTTTACGTTTTTCCTGGAGGTAGAGATTGTCCATCTGAAAGTTATTTTTCTTGGGATTTGTAGCTTGCTTTGTTTGGTATGAAACGGAGCTAACCACGAAATTGGTCAACGATTTGAAATTTCTGTTCTCGTAAGCACCCGCAAGTACATATAAGCGCTACTTAAAAAGTGCATGAAACAAAGTGAATGGGGAATGAGAAAAAGAGTGAAAAGTATTTGTGGAAAGATAAGTGTTGCTGGTGATAATGTGGAGAAAAGATACGTCTTATTTCAGGAAGGAGTGGTCTAAGGATTGCATCCTGAAGGGCATCTTTTCTTGCACTTCTCCAGGCTGGCCAAATTCTGTTTACTTCTGCGCGGAATTCTATATCCTCTTGATATGCTGTGAACCATGCTAAGAGTGGTTCAGTGATACTCACCCTCGCAAGTTTAGCTGGCGTTGTGTAGCGTGGGGTGCTATCGGAAGCTTTGGCTAAGTCCAGAAAGATAACGCGGACTGGTTGAATGTTGTCCCATCTGGTGGCCCAGTCCTTCCATGTGGTCATCAAGTTTGCGGCTCATGACCCTTCCGTTCTGAAGCCATATTAGGTGTGATGGACGATGTTGTTTCCTTTCAGGCAGTCCCAAACAACATCTGCAACCAAACTTTCCGGAACACTGGACTGTATGGGAATTAACGCCATCGATCCTTAATTCGATGAGTTTTTTTCGATCTGTTCGTTCACGGAAGTAGAATTGTTTCGTACAAGCATGTGAACAGAATAAATATGAGTATCTTTGGCACTTTGACACAATCCCGTAGAGTTCACCTGTTATTTCTTTTGCTCATATCATTAACTTCCCTACCCATCCACATGCAACCAAACCATTTGATTCATCCTCATTAAACAGACGACACACCTAACTCAGCTCTTACCATACTGACCAGACAATGAAGAAACAAGGCTTCTGTACGCCAAAGCTGACTTCTGTAGGCAAGGTGTTAAGGATACAAAAATACCGGAGATGACCATTAAACCTGCCTCCAACGTGCACCCTGTCCTCGGATAACCAGAAGGTCAGGATTCAGGCATGATAGCTATGGAACTCTGTTAAATGGCTTCTGTGAACTCGAAGATCTGAATCACTACGTACAAAACAGCAACATGTTTCTTCCCATAGAAACATTTCGCTTGACCCTCTGGCAGGTATTGACTGGTCGAAAATCCTAAGTGGCGCTGGTTGCATTATACCAATGGTGAAGAAGCCAGAAATTGTTGAGTGCCTTGCACCTTCCACAAAGACAGCACAAAACCAGGAAACTGCCTCTCTAGAGTGCACTGATGGCAACTGTAGGTGGAGGAAAAAGCCATTTGTTGCACGTCACTGATGTGAAAACGACACTTCGCCACCTCGTCGACACTGGCGCAGAAGTTAGCATTCTTCCCGTGACCACCAACGAACGCCATCATGGACCATACTTCGGCCTGTGAGCAGCTGACGGAAAGGTGACCGAAACTTCTGCTGAAAGGCATACCCACTATTATTACCAAATACGATCATTCCGGCCGGAGTGAAGCACCCGGTACAGAACTGTTTCAAATTGACCAAAAGTACAGCACCGCGTCCTTTCTTTGTGGTTTGATTGGATTTCTTGAGTTCCTCATAGCCAAATGTGTCCTAATGACAACGTAACACAATTGGTACGGTTATATTTAGGTTATATATGCAGTACCATTTAATCATTATACAATCTGGAATAAATAGGTACCTTTGCACTATACGTTCGACGACCAGTTCTCTGATTCAAATTTTCAACCTGTAGGACAAAAAGGGGTCGGTAGGTGATGAAGATCACAAACTCACAGCAAGCTGGTAACATTCGTAACAAAATGGGCTCAAACGTCTGTCTACAAGAGTCAGACTAGGCTGTAAACTTTTCAGGTAGACAACCAGGGACAAGCAGTCTCTGAACAGCATATCCCTAAGTGGATCGAGAACGTGTAGGGAACAGTGAAACAACGCTATGCCGTTAACGGTCTACCGTAACCCGGCAAAAAAGTGGAGTATTCGTGGCAAGGTTCAAGCAAGTAAAGGTAGATAGCGAGTATTAAGTCAAGAAAGACGGCTAAATGACAAAATAGTGCCATCAGTTTTGACTGCCTGAGATATGTCTGATTATTAATATGATGCTCCACCCCCCTGATTCAGTTAGATTTGGACTAAGATGAGGAGTCCTGACCATCCAGCCAGCATGAGTACGATAAAGTGGTAGTAACGCATCACAAATTCGCATGATGATGTGGCAAAGCCTTGGTGATTGCAGTGGAATGAAAACCAACCAGTGGTCGGGCCTCGTAGCTCCATTGGTACAGTATCGGGCCGGAAACTCGGTGGCTGCATGTTTGAGTCCGGCCATGGTCCGAATTTCCACTTCACCTTCAGTCATCACCCACCAACAATGCTAGTTGGCCAGACCATGGCTATTTCTGGTAGTTAGTGATGAAAATAATATCACGCAGATCGAAGGGTACGGGATAATATCCATAAAGAGGGTTAGAGTATTAAGGTGAATATCAATACTGTGAAGCAGAACGCTCAGGAGGATTTCTAATCGTTTATTCCACCACACTAACTAGGACAATCCCTCCAGACGATCAAAGACACATCGCAATGCATTCAGTCATGTCTCTGCCTACGTACCAAAATTTATAACCCTGTAACGTCTGCTTCAAAGTGATCCAGTCCACAGTATTCATTCTATTGATCCTAACATGATTATCTTATGATGACTGATGACCGACTGAACCTTGTTATTCATTTCATCTTCAGAATGATCTATGGGTGGAGAAAGTCTATGGGATACATCATCGAAATCATCAAACTAAACAGGAGAACCGGGGCAATCCCTGGTGGGGATCACCGTACTTTCGTTCTACATTCTACTACGCCCATATTAGCCAAAGCTGGCCCTACAGGTGTTGAAGCTGCGCAGATTGCATCCGAATTCATCACCAGGTGGATAAAGTTTACATACTGCAGGCATACTGATGAGATGCGCGAATGTATATGCGCACATGTGCTTGCATATATATATATATATATATATATATATATTTACATATACGCTACTGCATAAACATGCATGCACTTTTGCATATAGGTATATATATGTATCATACTCACCATCATCTACGTATAGCAACAAATGATCAAATATTATCCAGTCATATACACTTACGCATACTGATGGGCACCAGGTATACCTTGCCTGTACACACAGAACAGAAAATACATAAACAAATGCATGCTCATATATATCACGTACATGTACAAAGACAAACGCATATACGCATGTATGGCACGCTCCCACATATACACGAGGATATATATGAATAATGCACATATCTACATATGTGTGTATTTCATGAAATCTATGTGTCCACGTGTGCATAGGTGGTTGGCAAGTATATCGAACATGTACACACGAAACACCACAAGAAAGGATACATACGCACATCTGCACACCGCATATACATACATGTACACAGACACATGCGTATAAGCATATATAACTCGCGCTTATGTACACATATGTATGTAAGTAAATAATTGAGTAATCCACACATAAACACCTATGCATACCTCATGATAAACATGCATACATGCAGATGCTATGTGATGGAATACCAGACTCGAGTCCAGTAGAAACGGGAAACGAATGATGACCAGGCCCTCAAATCATTGCGTCAAGCAGGGATAGGGCTCAATTCCTGGCAGTGTGACAGTTGCTCGAGCACTCACGTCTCCCCGACAAAAGATTAAGTCGTCTGCAAATGATTTGGTACCTCCACACTCATATCACAATTAGATGTCGTGTTGACACCCGCGCCCCGAAATGCGGTGCATGGTTTGTAGTCATCGCTCTGGCATAACACCAGACCTCACAGACCTAGCCAAACACATGGTCCAGTCCGGGCACCAAAAGGAATACGTAAGCTTGCCCAGCCACGGGCTGGATAGATGTAGCATCGCAAATTCAATCGAGGTTCAGACTTACAGGGGTTCAGTCTTAGTCCCTTAGATGGTAGCTTCGCACCGCTGGCCTTCCAACCGGGCACATATACCAGAATGACTGAGTATTTCACTTCTTATAGTAGCTCCGAAACTATAAGCACAAGAATTTATGGTAAACTAAAAGTTTATCTGGCGTAACGAGGCGTTGCGAAGACGAATCAAGCATGTCGACTGCTTGTAACGGAACTTGGAATTTTGCGGGGCCTTGGTGCCACCACTGGTGAAAGAAGGTGTGGCCAAAAATGATTTAAACTTTAACACTGTTTTTGCCGAAAATCGGTATTTTCTTATCCATTTCATAACTTGTGGAATCTTCCGATGCTTTCAATCAAATTGCTGACCTCCCTTCCATACCATTCAGGTCCCGTACAACCTTGTACATTTTCCAACATATATCAATGTGATGATGCCTGTAAACTGGCGTCTCTCATGTTAAAATACGAATATGAGAATAAAATATTTATTTATTTATTTATGAAGAGGCGAGCCTACTTGTTACGATCTAAAGTCTCTTGCAGGTGCTTCATTTGCAGCGTGACAGTGTTTGTTTTCATTTAAAATGAGCTTACTACCTTTGTAATAACTTCTTTATGAGGACGATCGTCAAGGCTGGAAGTTCGGTCACAGGGATCTCCAATTGTCATCATCATAAACACATGTACGGTAGGGTGTTGCAGCATGCCTTCCCCCCTCTTATGCCCCACTTCGTGACACCACGCACCCCGAGCAGTTTATCGAAGACGGTTCATATTCCAGCTTCTGGAAAA